TCACGTTCCAAATAAAACACTCGAATAATCCCAAACTCAATTATATTTATTATTTCATAAATAAACCTCAAAATGATAAACGGAAAGCAACCTCTCAAAATTACAATCAAAACAAGCTTTCTTTCCAACCACCACATTCATCCAAAACTCAACTCTATGAGCAAACACAAAGAGAAGAAAAATAACTCACATAAATAAGATCATTCGTTCCAAAAAGACATCAAAGAGACTTTCAACCCAAGGTTAATCATAAAGCTCTAAATTTCAAAAAAAAACTTGTAAAAAAATTTTCAAATGAAAAGGCTTTCAAAAGCAACCCACCAAAACTCTTTCCGACACAAACAAAATGATCAAGTGCTCTCTCTTTTGGGGTGAGGTATAACCACAAAAACGTAATAAAATGCTTTGTTATAAAACATTCATAAGGCTTTTCAATAAATATAAATATTTGCAAAGAAATGACGGGAGCAAATTATTTGACGACATACAAGAGACATGATTCTCCAATGCTTCCTCAAAAAAATGTATTCTCAAATATCATCTATATACCACATTTACATGAATAGAAGTAAAATCCACAAAGCTTTTCATATTGAGTGAATATCAACAAAGTGCAAGTATGTAATAAATCTCCCACCTACTCGTGATGCTAGGAATGCGAATATCTCATTTTAAGATAGTTCGGAGCATGAAACAAATGAAAATATGCGTCCAATCGATTCCTGAAATAATTTGAAATTTAAAACAAATAAAAATATACCTCCAACTCATCTCCAAATCAGTTTTGAGCACAAAACTAGTAAAAACTGCACACAATCTATTTTTAAAATAGTTTGGAGCATAAAATCGATTAAAATCTGCATATAACTTATCCCAAGATGGCTTATAATGCATAAAACAGTCAAAATCTGCATATAGCTTATTTCCAAAACAGTTCGAAACACAAAAACAGTAAAAATCTGCATATAATCACATCTCCAAAATAATTTGGAATAGAAAACCAGTGAAAAAACTGCATATAACTCGTTCCCAAAATAGTTCGAAGCCTAAGTCAAATAAAAAACTATACTTTTCATCCCTCATGCTACTCGCCAACAAAGGTTTTAAGAGAAGAAACTTACAAATATATAATTCATATAACTAAGAAACTGCCACTTCTCCAAAAGAATATAGTTCCAAATACGTTTTACAAGATAACTATAAATGCTTGCCACTAAGATAAAAGGCACATGAATGCTCTTAGCCATTCCAAACACCCTCCCAAATGAGATTATCAAACCTTTCAAGGTAAAGAGACCCGCCTTGCACATTGAATGATCTTAATCTCAAAAATTGAAACTAAGACAAAGCAGTATAGCATTTGGTTCCTAAAAAGAAAACAAACTCACATTTAGAGTCCATGAAGGTTTTCCAACATTTCTAAACATTCACATGCTCACCAAAGGTATATGAATAAATATGATGCTATCTAACAAACTGGTGCAAATTTAAGATGCATTCATAATTGGAATTAAACACACATGGCATTCAGGAGCCACAACACTTCATCTCAACTATTGGAAGAAATAACTATACATTAATCACAAAGGAAAAATGAGGCGGTAACAATGTAGCTCTTCATTTCAATAACAAGTCTAACTCCAAATGTAGTGACCATTGTGACATATAAATCAATATAGGAGCAAACTTTCATATACAAGAGGCATTAATTTTACATGCATGCATATTGCAATCATCTCTTCTCTAAGCAAAAAGAATAAGCTTCAGATTTCGATTTCCCTATTTTTTTAAAGAACTTAAGCAAATATGCATAAAACTGTATAAGGGAGTATATCACATTCAATTCTCATGATGAGACAAAACCTTAACCACCAAGATTTTCATAACATCGTGTTCAAATGTCTATATCAAGGTTCAAAGGTATACGACAGCAATTGACAAAAATAATCCATGGAGTAGTGCATGAAAATCTGTCAAAGTTTGCCAGAACCACATAGCATATAAGTTAAAATGTCTAAATACGATCATGTGCGATTGATGAGATATAAACTATTTCTCTCGACATGATTCAAGTAGTGGCTAAACATACACGTATTGTAATGATGATTATCATTGTAGTGTTGCTACCAATATGTTTATACGCAAGAAAAAGACATAAAACTCGTACCAAAGTCTTCACATAAGATTTCGGCACAAGCATAACCAAATGTCTCATCATGCTACTCTACTAAGGCATTTCACAGAGCAATTAGCATACGATACTACAAGAAATCATGGAGAAAATCAATGTGAGGGTCATACTTCACACTTTAAAAGAAAGAGGACTCATAAACATATTTAGCTAAACCAATCACGAAGTAGCTCACATAAGCTTGGCCAAGCTTTTAGAATGGCGAAGAGTAATCATAACCACTTAAAGTTCACCACGACATTATCAGAAATAAATAATTTAAGCTCAAATGTACAGACTAAACAATATCAAAATATAAGTTCTAAAACAAAACCATTTGATCTCTCAACACAAAACCACAAGTTATGTAGGTGTAAATCAAGAATGAGAGGAGGGAGGGAGAAAAGTAGTGGGAGAAGAAGAGAAAGAAGATGAAGAAGAAAAAGGAGTAGAATAGGAAGAAGAAAATGAGAAAGAATGATAGGAGATTTAGGAAAAGGAAGAATGAGAAGAAGCAGAAGAAGAAGAGGAAGGAGGAAGAGAAGAAGAAGAATGAGAAGAAGGAAGGGAAGAGACTTATCTTGCAAGAAAGAAGAAAGGGGCAACAACTAGAGCTGATCGGCGGCGTCGGCCTAGACCCAGGCGGAGTTGAAGGTGGTGAAAGCTGCGGTCGGTTTCGGCCTCTGAGGTGTGCGAACCAGGGAGACGACGAGAGAGGGAGGGAGGCGAACGTCGGAGACTCACGAATGGGAGTTTCCGAGCGCTGAAGATTCGCGAACCAGAGAAGGGGTTTTGCGAATGCTTGGAGGCAGAGGAGAGGGGTTCCGTCTGGGATGTTCAAATGGAGAAAATTAGGAGACCAAGAGGGAGCTGGAGTCGTGGAGTCCAATGGGGAGAGCCTCTCACGCCTGGAGCAAATGCATGCCGCTGCCCTAAAAAGGAAGCCCGCCCATTTCATGCATCTCATGACAGTCATTGGCATACACGCGAACAGAACTTCATATCTCTGCCTCGACTGCTGAAGATCGCGGACGTCAAGTGAAGAGCTCAGGTCAGAGCACCGATTTAACTCAAACCATTCGATTAAATTCCTAATTTTATATGGGATTCAAATTGATTAAAAAGTAATTGGAATTTAATTAGAATTGGTTTAGGCTGATTTGAGTTGGGTTTGGATGTGAATTTGACTCAAATTGGCCTGATTTAAAAATCGGATTAGGCTCGATCAATTTAATTAAATAAAACTCAAATTGAAATCAATTTGGATCAAATTGAACTCATTGCGGTCAAAACAAACTATTCGGGCTTGAATGAATATGGTCGAGTCTAATTTTAATCAATTCGAGCCAATTCGAGCACGAATTGGGCTCGACGAGGTCTAATTAAGTCGATCGAATGTGCTCGATTGTACTCGAACGAAAATCGAGGTCAACAAAAAAGATCATAAAAATGTGGAGAAATAAGAATGCATCTTTTTAAATAAGCCAATCAAATGTAAGTGCAATAACTTAATTTTCATAATAGTAAAGCTTGAAGATGACAAAGATGATCTAAGGAAAACAAAAAAGAGGCCGAGGATTATAAATCTAATGATCAACAAGATAGCATGGACGATGACAAACCTACAAAATAAATTGAACGTAAATAAGGGTATTGTTAGGCCATACATGCTACAAACTTAAGAAGCTTAATTGTATTGGTTTAAAAATATATTTACCAAGATTTTTGGAGTTTGAATGCAACTGGAACTTCAAAATCCATTATTTTACCATCATAATTTAATATTATGATTATCATTTTGTACTTTTGACAGTATTCAAAACCTTCATTGCCTGTCCCAAGTTATAAAGTAAAGACTGAAGGTTGATGTTAGGTAGATAGCCAACAGTAAAAATTATATCAAAACTACTAAGATGAATTCAAATTTGAATTATGCTACTGTTACAGCATTCCCCATAAGCGATGCACTGTAACCTAACTTAACTATAAAAGAAATAGGTAAGCTCTTGCTAAAAAGTCACCTATATGTGATGTGCCATAACTTAACAATATTGGAAAATCCAATAATTTACTCTGAATACTCCAAGGGCAGTGGTTTCCATATATTTATAACTTTGCCATATTGTTCTCTATAAATATTGGGAGGAATTCTCATTCCAGGACCTCCGAGAAATGCTCAAGAACATTTTCTTGTATGTTTACCACTTGAAGCAAATTTTTACCCAACTAAGGAGTGAGGGCTCATTTAGTTGCTTGTAAATAGAAAGTACATTTTAGCGAAAGATGATTACATTTACACACTTATGTTAAATGTGATAATGAAATCACTTTCTGAGAATTTTGCGAAGATTGGTGATGGGTTGAAAAGTTCAACTACATTCAATCAAGCGACCCAATGAAATGATCCCGCAGAAAAATCCCCAGCCTGATCTAGGGACTCATGTTCGTTACTGTGACGACAAAGCCAAGAAGGCACAAATCCAGCTCCTCCAACTGTGGCGAGTGCAACAACAGAGCTAAGAAGCCTCAGATGTTCAAACAAAGACACAACAACGTCCTTTTAATTACTTATAAATAAGTAAATAACGCATTTTTTTTCTTCCCGCTGAGCTGAGGGGCAGAAATATAAGCCCCAAAAGAAAAAAATGATAACCAAGAGGCACTAAAACTCTCTACTTCCAAGCCTTCCTCCAAGAATATACCTTTCTACTGCAAAGTCCTTCATCTGCTGATTCAGATCACCTCAGTCAAAAAAATCAACCATAATACAAATCCAGAAAACCATGCCAAGCGTATACAATGTATAGACTGAACATAGCAGAAGACGCACCTGTTCACCAATAAAACCCCAAGGCAGAAGCAAGAGATGCAGAGGAAGCAGACCATTCTCTTTGAGACTCCACCCATCACCCTCTGGTGCCTCGTCACTAGAATGGCTCCCATTACTCTCCCAAAAACCTCTACTTAAATGGCCTCGCCCTCAAGCACCAACCGAAGCAGCTGTCGCCATTAGAGGAAAAGAACAAAGGTCCAGCCTTTCACATCACAAGGCTCCTCCAAGTCCCACAATCGGGGCGGGAGCACACGAAAAGCTACTGGGCCGTAGGCATTGATGGCATTTCAAGCAAGCAATGCAGAAAACGGAGGAATAAAAGGAGCGGATGGAAATTAATGGGAATCGAGGAACGATGGATTTGTTTCCTAAAGAGACTTTTATTTGAACTCTCTACATTCCACATCAAAGCATTTTAGCAAGAATATATGTACAATTGAGGATTTTTATTGAAAGTTTTTTAATATATTATCTATTATGTGAGAAGAAAAATATTTTTAATTTAAAAAAATTAATTGCAACTATTAATATATTTAATCTATATCTATTCTAAATAAAAAATATAACTATTATATAATATAAATTAATTCACAATAAAAGAGTAAAATTAATATTGATGCATTATTGAACATTATATTGATCATACATGAATCTCGATGCATATTTAAAATAAAAAAAATTAAATTAAATTCATAACATTTTGAAAATGATTTTGATGTAAATTTGAATTTATGTTTGAACTAGAGCGTGACAGTGTTGAGATTGTGACGCTGTTGTGCAGGGAATTCGGACGTTGCGGTACAAAAAATCGTTGGTGCAGCATTTAAGCCTCTTTTCTATAGTAATTTTGAATTTAGCATGCAGCGCTACGGCGCTGTGTGGTGACACTACTCTGCTACCCACTAAAAACTATTTTTATTTTCTCAACTCACCCGCCCCCTCGTCTCACAGCACCGATTTGCATGAGAAGGAATCGAAAGAAAAGGAGGAGAGATAAAAGATAAAATTTGATTTTTGGTTGGTGGATTGCTACAACGCTCTTATGAAAATTGCTTAAATCAAGGTAGGTAGCTTATTCCCTACTTTTGTTTTCAAAGATTTTGATTTTGACAATTTGATTCTCACCAAAATTAATTTTATTATAATTTCCCCATATTTATTGTTTCGCCACATAACTTTTTGTATGTTATCATAATGATTATTTGGGACATTTTAACGGGGACATTTCTGAATTTTACCTGATAATATAGAAGTTATTATATTTTATACAATTTATACTATATAGAAATTTGAGTATTTTTATTTGAGCATACTGTTAATACCATCATTGTGAATAAAAATGGGTATGTGATTTGGTAATAGCTTGTTGATATTTTTATGTTATAATACTGTGATAACAATAATGCATGAAAATAAGTAAAGGCTGGTGAATTATTGATATTGGTTGAAGACTGACTAACATATACAGGATGGTGACTAAAAGGATTTTCTTTTGAATACTATGATTTGGTGTTATTCTCTGTTAATTCATGTGATTCACTATTTGAGAGTTATAAGAAGTTAATATTGTACGTTGAAAAAAGAGTTACGACTTTGTTTACTGAGCTAATGTTACAGACTTACTAACTATTAACTATTAAAAAATAATGTGCAAGCTAAAACTCCTTATTAGTGTGTTTACAGGAAGCATGTTTCTGACTCATTATTACTATACAACTTTACTATTATTGCACTAATTTGCTACATTATATGAATTTATTATTATTATTATTATTATTATTATTATTATTATTGTACCGATATACTATTATTATCGTTGACGATACTATTATTGATTCACTGATATTGATACAAATTCATTAATATTATTATTATTTACTGATTCATTGTTACTAATTATGTAATATACTAAAAAAGTGACTAGGATATTGATTTGATACTAATATATAATAGTTGGATAGCATGTGTAGACTATTATATGATTTTATTATATGTCTATATTTATATGTTTTTTTATAGTCTTCATCGAGGCTTTGTTTTTATTGACTTTTATATCATTTTCTTATTGATTAAATAGTACTACGACGATAAGTGTTTTATTGATTCAACACCCGTATCGATTTACTGATTTCTACACTGTATTATATTATTGGCTTTCATACGATACTATTCTATTTATTCACTTATCTTAGTGCTACTGCATACAAGTTTTGTTATTTCTGAACATATTCATAATTATATGACTAATATTGCTATGAATTGATTGATGACATGCATACTGCTTCTTTACCATACTTTGAGTTCAATTGTATAATTTAGTGACATGTTGAGCTTTCTAGCTCATTATATATGATTTAAATGATTTTATGTTATGGTAAAAGATCAAGAGTGTGAGATTGATTAGAATTCATTGTGTTTTATTTCTTTTATTTTAGTTATTCTTTTGTACTCACGACTAGATGATGTGTTGTATTGATATGGTTCCTAAGTATTATATTTAATTTTTTGAGCAATGAATATAGATGTATATTGATATTTTAATTACTAGATATGTTTACACTCATATTAATATTAATAAAAGAAAATTGATTGCTATGGTGTTGTTAGATTAAAAGAAAAAATAAGAATTCTTTTAATCTAAATTTTGGGGCATGATAGAACATCTCTAAACTGTTGTCAACCATATGACCCCTTAGTAGGGGTGTCAATTCGAGTCAACGGGTCGGGTTCGGGTCGAACCCGGAACTGACCCGGCACTGTTCGGGTCAACCCGAACCCGACCCGTTTTTAAAAACGGGTCAGGTTTTCGGACCCGAACCCGACCCGATTTGGGTTCGGGTCAACCCGACCCGACACGAATGACCCGGAATTGCTAGTTTTTAGGTCAAAAATCGGGTCAATCTTCATTTTTCGGGTCAAAATCGGGTCAAAAACGGGTCAAACTCGGATTTTCGGGTCAAATATGAGTTTTCGTGTCACTTTCGGGTCAATTTCGTGTTTCCATGTCAACCCGAACCCGATCCGATTTTTAAAACGGATTGATTTCTTCAACCCGAACCCGACCCGTTTCGGGTTTGGGTTGACCCGAACCCGGATTTTTCCGGGTCGGGTTCGGGTCGTGTTTCGTGTCGTGTCAAAAATTGACACCCCTACCCCTTAGCCTCTTTCACCTAACTACATTCCTTTGAGCACCATTGCCCAACAATGATCCTCAACAAACATTGTCTGACTATGGCCCTCCGACCCTTATCACCATACTTTTGTCATATGATTTCTATAACTTGATTAGATCTTTTGACCAACAACTCCTAACTATCGTCCTTTGACCTAACTCGATTAGATCCTCTGACCAACTACACCTAACATTTCGTTGTCTAGCTATGGTCCTTTGACCAATGTAGATTGAAGCCTATGGTTCTTCGACCATCGTCACCCGACTTCAGTCCTCCAACCATCATCGCCCACATATAGTCCTCTGACCTCCATTGTTTGATTATTATCCTCCAACTAGCATTAATCAATTATGATCATCTAACCAAAATCATCTGATTATGATCTTTTAATCACCATTGTATGATAATAATTCTCCAATAATAAACACCCGACTACTGCCTTCTAATCACCATTGCCCGACTTTGATCTTCCAACCTTTGTGACCTGACTATGGTCCTCAAACAACTATGGTCCTAGATCTATAGGCCCTAAACCATTGTCACCTTACTACTTTGACGCCCACTGACTTCATTACCTATGTCAACGCATGAAATTGTTTATAAGACTAATGCAAGCCATTGAAATTAACTTTGACTCATAATATTATCAATAGGATTTATATAAGACTTATTGGTCTTTAATATGCTCTTATCAAATGAGTACGACCATAAAAACATGCAAATAATCATTTGAAGAGAACTCCCATACTCAGGGTTTTAAAAATCAGACCTGACCGACAGACTTGACCGGTTCAACCGTGAATTGATCTTAAGGCCAGTCTGGTTCATCCTGAAAATCATTTTTGCATCAAATCGGGTTGAACCTGTGGTTCAACTGATGAACCGGTCTCAATTCCCTTAAACCAGCCGATTCAATTTTTAAATTATTTAAATAATTTAATAAATTGAAAAAATAAATATTAAGTAATATTTATAATTTAATAAATTAATTCATATTTAAAATACATAATTTTAAAATAAAAAAATTTTCACTAAATATTTCACATTACTTCATCGCTTTACATGAGTTCTTATTCCTTCCAAACTCAAAAGGCAATATAAAATATAAGCATTATCAAGATGAAGTTTCCTAAATGATGTGAGACTAATTAAGTTGAACTTCATAATTTTTAAGTTTACAAAATATACTATATATTTGAAAACAAATTTTTTAAATAAAATTTAATGATATAAATAACATTTATTTTTTAATTAATAATGTTAAATAAATTATATATTTTATTTATCATTTATTATATGATATAAAAATAAATTAATTAGTTATTTTATCAATAATAAATGATTTAATATTAATAATTTATAAATGTAAATTTAATTAGACATTTAAATATAATTTATATGTGTAAATTATATCTAAGCATATAACATAAATAATAATTAATTAATATTTTATATATTTATATGTAAGCTAATTTTGTTAAATTTGAATCAAATTTAAAGATATAATATATTAAATTTAAAATTATATATGATATTATTAATGTATGAATTCAATTTTTTAATAAAAAATTATATTATTACATGATTATTATGTTATTTAAATTTTATTTAAATAAGTTTCATGTTTATTATGCCATCTACTTCAACACCTATTTTGATCCCAATCGAACTATTGAATCATAAACCTTTCGTTCTTCCTATTCGATGTCTAGTATGATTTTCACAACCTTGCCCATACCAGAGGGCTCTTCCAACTTCATCTATGTAATATGTTTTATATATTTATATATTTACTACATTGAATTAATATCTTCTCCCAAGGCTGACCATCATATATAATTAATAACCAATATTATTGCATTTCATTGGTTATACATGATGCCCCTCCTTTATTTTCTTTATTATTATATTATTATTATTATATTATATTATTTATTATTATTTTATTATTATATTATTATTATTATTATTTTTTTTTTTTTATTTTACATGATACCCCTCCTTGAAATTGGAGAAGGCGTTAATATAAATATAGTAAAAATGAAACATATTTCATGATGAAAGTTGAAGGAGCAAAGTTATC